GGGGGGGGCGGGGGGTGGAGGGGGGCGGGGGAGTGGGGGGGGGTGGCGGAGGGAATGATAAATGTGATACTCAGAATGAATGGGTAAGGCTTATCGATTTGAAAATAGCCAAGAAGAATATTAATCAAAGTCAAAGATAGATTTAACAAAAGTTTTATCTTGCAGTTCATTGTGAGGATTTACCAGATCATCGATTTGAGGTTTTGTCGAACTCACATATATTTTTGAAGAAAACAATAAAAGTAAGTTTCAAGTTAAAGTTTTGTAGCTGCCCCGTCCTACCCACCAACTCCATTACAGACCTTAGAAAACTTCTCATATCATAGTCGTCATTTTGTGAATATAAAAAGTATGAATCAATCAAGCAATAACTTTCAAAAATAATTCATATTAGATTTTTTGTGAGTTGATCGATATATATATATATATATAATAGCATGTTAAGAACTGTTCCTGTAGCCATAATAGATATTTACAACAATCTTATTTTCCATTTAATTCGATGTTTATAACGATAACAATGTTAAATTAACAAAAATACAATACGGAAATAATAGAGATGCAAATAAAAAATAAGGCGCCTGTAAAAAAACAAAAACATTTTCTGTTTGAAATACAGAAATGAACAAGACAAATTTTTACTTTGCAAACCGATTATCTTCGAACAGAACTATAGTCTATGAGGGATTTTTCACTTAACTTATTTTGTATTAGTTTAATAAGGCTAAAGAACATATGTGAGTTCCACAGTTCAGCCGCAAAGGGGCTGCGCTAACAAGCGTATTTTTGCACAATGATTGTTTAGTGACTCCTACCAATGGCAATAGTTAAAAGTAAAATCAAATGTATAGGCTTTCTTAAAATTGATATGAGTAAATTTGCAAGGATGTCAAAAAAAGAAAGTTTCATCATCTTATTTTTAAACTAATTTAAATATCAAGAGTCATTAAAAATTGAGTTAAGCAGTTTTTGAATTCTGAAGAATGTCTGCAAATAAGAAGCTACGATATAACTATGAAATCACAATAAAACTTTGTGTATTTTCTGAATTTGCTGAAACGTGATGAAAAATATTCGCATCATTTGCCTGTCTGACTGACTGTGTTAAAAATAACTGTTAATTTTAATATGGCAAATAATATCTTATATTTTTAGAAACTTCAGATCAGACGCCAGCTTTCATTTCTTTTATTCTACTTTACGCCCACAAATAATCAAAATTACAATGCTTTGAAGAAATTAATTATACATGAATAAGTGTAATTCCTATCTTAAAACATTTATTACTTTTTTATGTGATGTAAAAAATATCATTTCCTGAAATTACTAATAAGTATAATTTTTTTGTTTTTGTTATAAAAATCTGTATAATTTTTCAAAAATTTAATGGAAATAAATATTGTATTCAATGTTAAATTTTTTTGAAAAATATGAATGAAAGTTGTTATAAGAACAAGAAAAAAAAAGAGAACACATTATTATCGTAATTTTAACAAGAAAACTTCATTGATAATTAGGAAAGAAAAATAATTCATTGGGATCATAATTTTTTAAGAACATAATTTTTTTCTAAAGATGTAAGTGCACCACTTGTAGCATCAGTAACCACACCAGTAACTGATAAACGCCATATCCCGATTTGTAATGGAGCACTATTATCAACAATAGTTTGCAGTTCGTTAAGCTTTTCTAAAAGAAAAAATAATATAACAATAAGACAAGTTGTACGTACAATTCCTGCGGAGTTACAATATGAAACACGATGCAACTGCTGGTGTTGTAAAAGAGGAGACTGTGACAGTAAAGGATAACTGTCATAATAATACCGCAGTAGACTTTGATCTTGTAGTTATGTCTGTTGCGTCTGTGAGGGCTTGAATCGACGAGATCCAAAATTTTCGGATCCGGACGCAGGATCAACCTGAAGGGCTCTAGTAAGGGAGAGTTCGAATCTTCACCTCTATACTTCAATACTCTTTTGAGATCATGTTTCACGAAAGCAAAACTTAGAAATTAATCAATAGAATACATACTACGATCAGTTAATACAACAGGTAAATCAATGTTAACATTAAGACCTTTATGAATCTTAACAGTACCACCAGCATCAAATAAAATTTGTCCTTTACAATTTTTAATAATTGCACGTGCTTGTAATGCTGAATAACGAACAAATAATTCATTATCAAGTTCAATACGAAAACTTTGTGGTAAATTAGTATCAAGACGTAATTGTGATTTATGTACAATGTTTGTTGTATTACGTTCAAGAATTTGTATATGAACGTCAAGTTCACCATTGATTATTTCTTGTTCATTTCTTGATACAATTTCTCCAATAAGAAGTGTGGGTAAATCAATAACTAAATTAATATCCCATTCACCACTAGATGTTATTTGAAGTAAAGCTGGTTTTGGTATACTTATAATAACTTTATCATCATAAAGAATATCAGCATGAAGACAAAGTGGAATTTGTTTTTGAAGAATATCTGAATCAATATTCATTCGAAAGCTGTAAAGATTATTCGATGATGTTCCAAGAAATACTTCACTGTAAATTTTTTGTTTAGTATGAGTAGAATTATTGGTAATATATAAATGTAATAATGAACCAGATGGTAATATAAATGGACTATCAGTTGATGTAACTTGACCAGTTATGGAACTTTGTGGAGTTTTAGATAATATTAAAATAATAGGTTTTTCGTTACGTGATGAAAAAGCAAATGTTTGACTTGCTGGAATTATAACACTACCATGAACAACATATCGTGCGAGAAAATAGTAAACTGAATTTATATCAATCTTATTCAATGGTAAATTCAAAGTAAAATTAATTGGTAAATATCGTCCATCGACTTTAAGAGAAGTTTCATTAATAATATTTGGATGTGTCAATGATGGTGATGAACTAAGTTGTAAAATAATTTCACTATTTTCTGGTAATGGCTCATTTATATCATTTATATAAATAAGACCTTCAATTAATTGAATTTTTTTTATATTATGTACTGGAATACGAATATCAGTTATAATACCACCATGTGGATTTAATGCAAGTACACTACCAGCTGGTTCATATTCTAATATATTATGTCCATTTTTAATAAGACCTTGTAAACGATAAATATGATTTGAATGAAGACGACTAAAATCAAGTTCAATTTCGAAACGAATAGGAAAATCTTTTTCTAAACGAATATTCCATATTTGAACAATAGCATGATCTGAATTTTCAACTGTATCATCAAGTAAAACAAGACTAGCATAAGATGATGATGATGACCATTGTGCTGGACGATTTTCAACATCAAATATAATACCACTTATTATGTTAAGTGATGGTACAGGTAATTGAATAATAAGTGGTGGTGGTTGTTTATTTGAAATTAATAAAGATTTTGATACATGTGTAATTACCCCATTCATATCAATTATCATGACTAAATAATAATTACGATTACGTTGAACAGATGTCACTGGTACTTGAAATGAAAATTCACGAAAATATTCCGGTATTGAATCAATATGTATAGCAACAATTGGTGGTGTTAACATTTCAGGACTTTCAGTAACAAATATTCGAGCTCTACTTCCTGGAATATAATGTAATTTTTCATTGGTTGATGAATGAAGACGAACTTGAACATAATAAAAAAGATCATCAACAGGTAGAATTATTCCTGAAAAATCATCATGAAGTGCAACTGGTTGTGAACTAGTCATATAAGTTGTATTTTTTTCATCGATTATTAATGCACTTATATCATAATTTTTTGATGAATCAAATCGAATTGATTGACCGACATTAACTTGAAAGATTTGTGGAAGTGTTAATGTTTCGGATAATTTAAAAATAATATCATGTGAGTCAGAATCAATTTCATGTAAACGTAAAATCAGTGATGAACGTGGTTGAAGAATAAATGAACCAGGCATGGAACGTATAACTGTACCACGTAATATAAATGATGATGGAATAACATTAAAAACAACTTGAGATGTAATAAGAGTTTTTTTTTCATTAATAACTAAGACAGGTTTTTGGTTGATTGAACGTTGAATACCATTTTCTATGATATAAGCAATAGCATAATAGTTTATATCTGATTTTAATAAGTGATTAAGAAGTAAAAGTGAAAATCGTACTGGATACATAGAAGGTACATTTTTTATTTTTAATTGAGCGATTGAATCAAATGTTTGATTATAACGAAATGCTAAACTTTGTTCAGGAATAATAAAAACTTGAAAATATGTTCCAGGTCGAATATATCGTTGACCATAACGACCATGAAATCGACCAGTTATTTCAGTACCATTTGCTTTAACATAAATATCAAGTTTTTGTAAAAGTTGATTTGTTCCTTGTAAATGTATTTGACTAGTACCAGCTGGAATAAATGTATTAGTATCTTTTTCACCATTAGTTATATAAACAAAAAAATATAATGTAATATCATCCTGTGTTAAATTTAGTAATTTAACATGAATATGAAATGTAAGTGGAAATTGATTACGTTTTACTTTAACTTGAAATTTCGAAAATGCTAATTTACGATCAATTGTTTTTGATGTTGAAACATAAAGTGTAACACGACTTTGATTTGCAATAAAGTTTTCAGTAAATGGTACTCGTGATTTTAATAATGAATAATTACCATTTGTTAAATTTACACTATCAAAATAATATTGAACTGTATCAAGAACTGATGCATGATGTTTGACGAGCACAATTTTACCACTAACATGAGCACTGTTGTTTGATAAATGAACAATCTAAAATTAAAACAAAAATAAAATATGATGTTGATTTAGAAGAAAATATTTTGAGATACTTTATGAGGAGATTTAACCTTAGGAGATTTTTTGTTCTTTGTATTTGTGGTTGTAACAGTTACAAATTTTACTTTTGCATCTTCATCAGATTTCTGTTGAACTTTTTTAGATACTTTTGTTGTAGGTTTTGTTTCTTGATCTATAATTGTCAATGGTTTGATTTCATAAGCTAATACATTAGTAGTTGGTATAAGTTGACGACCGATTTCAAATTGATTAGTAGTTGGTACTGAGTGATCTTCATGCTTTGTATCCATCGGCATTTTGTCTGAATTTGAACCGATATTTTCACGACTATCTTGATCAATTTCTGTTTGACTTAGACGAGCTTTTCCTCCACCTATTATTTTTCCTTCTATAACAAATATATTTGTTGATGCTAAAAGCATCAACATTGCAAGAGAAAATCTAATTTTCATGCCGTTTATTATCTGTGAAATAAAAAATATGATTTTAAATTAAAATAATTTTTTTTATAAAATATATTAATTTTTGATTTACCTCTCAAAGAATTTTTGTGCTTTCAAATGTAAATAAATAGTAATATTAAAAGTTTCGATAAATGGTTAACCTTTGTTGAATAAGGAATGACATTCTTGCTTCGTCTATTTATATACATATATGTACGTATCGGCCGACGTAACAATGAATTCATGATGCTTTCTATACATTGTTTTGAACCAACAATAGTCTGTAATATCATTCTCTTTCTTTCTCGTCACGTCCATGGAGAGAATCATTCAATCATTATTCGATCTAAAGTTATATAAACATTAACATAACAGATGGCAAGTGTTTTTTCCAACGTTATCTATACGTGCAAAAAGAGAATGATTCATATAAATGCCCCTGAATATCGTTAGTATATGTATTCGACGAAATTTTAATATCATTTAAAATATTTTACTGATAGCAACTTGTATAACGTTGATTCAAGTACGAATCATTTTTATTCTCTATCATATTATTCGTTGCTGTGACCTATGTAAATGATTTCTTTTTTGTCTTATGTTTGTCCTTGAAGAAACAAAGAAATTGAATTTAGTTTCGTCATTTTTATTCTCTTTCCTTTTTCTATCAAATACTGACCTATTGCAACAATGTGAATGTGAATAATATCGATAAAAATCGACTAGAAAGGATGAATAGTAACTTACAGAAATGGTAAAGAAAAGGATTAAATCAACATATAAACAAATGAATAGTACAGTCACAATACTTGAGTTCAATCAAAATGATAAGAGAATCATTTTTCAACTTTCACCGTCCATTTCGGTACCTACGTATCCTCTTAAGAAAACAATGTTTTTCATGTGAAAATTTATAAAAAACATGACAGGCCGGTTCGATCATCTATTGGAACTTCTATTATGGATTACAAAAGAAAGGAATTTAAACTTCTTTTTATAGACGTTTCCTGTCCTGAAACAGTTCAGCTGTACTGATGCGTACTAATGATCATTGATCTACCTGACATCTCTTGATGAGTTGATACAAATGACGTAAATATGTGTTGTTCCGGTTTTTTAAAGGTCAATAGTGTGGATGAGAAATGAAACTTAATTCTGTGTTCTATTATTTTGCTTCGTAAAAAAAAAAGAAATTCGTCCTTAAAGGACTAAAATATTTTCTCACACACTGTAATCAACAATTCGTATCTTCTATTGTTTTTTTTTTCATGCTCTCGAGTTCTTTATGGAAGCATTACAATTGACATCCATTAAAACTAGTACACTCAAGTGACTTCGGAAGAAATAAATTATTTGAATGACTTCTGTTTTCAATGCTTACTCTGGTTTAATAATCGTCAGACAAATCATAATAATATTAACTATCATCGTTCGTTGTTTTTTTTTTTGTCTTGCTATGTCTATTCTTATTGCTGATGTTCGATTATCATTACAGTAAAACTTTTCTTAAATGAATATCATCGAAAATTTGGACAAGTGTTCATCAATGAAAGATGTCACATATTTTATTATGCAATAAAATAAAAGTTTCAGAATATAAGTTTCTTTACTAGTTTTGAAGTGATCAAAGATCATTCATCTTCTTGTGTTTGAATATTTATAAATCTCGAAAAGTTTCAATAGAATACGAAACTTTGCTTTATTTCATCGAGTCCCCATAACTATTACTATCGTTGTAAAAATAAATTAATTGAATTTAGCAATTGTGGAACTGTAAAAACAACGTTCAAGTTCAGATTAGGAAGTCCATGCGATAACTACAACCAGGATATCGATCGATTTTTTTTGAAAAGTGTTGTATCAAAACAAGTGAATATTTTTGTAGTCTGTTACAACTAATAGAATTGACTCGTTTTCTGATGTTGATGAGTGTGAACTGGATCTACTAACCACAAAGTCCAAATCGATTCCAGTTATGAGATAAATTTTTATTAACAAAATAAGTTCTGCAACTGCTATCTTCTCGGTTAATTTGAATTTTTTCTAATAAATAATTCGAATACGAATACAAGACACTCTCTACGATCGTTTATAGCTGAAATCGAAAGTCGTATGTGCTACCACCGAGTCTTATGAGTACCGTGGTAGTGCGATATGGGAGTTGTTCACCTATAGGACATACATTTCCTGAAAAAAAATCACTTCGCGAGATTGACACCTTGATCAATATGAGAGATTGATTTTCTTTAAATGTGTTTGATTTTATTCATCCGAGAGTAGGCTAAATAAGTTCAGATGACAGCAAGACTATTTATTAAATAGTCGCTAATAATAATTTATATTTTATAGATACAAGAACAATAAGAGAAAAAAAGAAAAGAAATAAATTAATATTTTTTCAATCAAATGTTTCAAAGCTACTTGATAAATTTCTTTTAATAAATGTAGGTGGATAATTTAATTCTGAATGCACTCGCCGTGGTGATTTTTTAAGTGCTGGTAAACGGTATGGTGTATAACCATCTTTATGTGTTATTAAACATGGTGTAAATTGTCTTCTTCGATTAAATTCATATACTAACCGTTCAATTTGATAATCAGATGGACTTGGTGGTGGAGCATGATTATGTTCAAAATCTATAATTCTATCATCATCTTTTACTGTTGTAAATAATTCCGATTTTGTACCACGAGCTGTTAATGAAGATACATCGATTTGATTAGGATTTGATTTATTAGGATGATAAAGTGATGTACGATAAGATGGACGTTTTTGTTTGTGTCGATATCCATTTTCAATGGATGGTAAAATATGTTCATTTGCACGAAAAATTTTCGTTTTTTTTCCAGGTAACATTAAATGTCGAGAAGAATAGACATTAAATGAAAGAGATTTTTTAAAATTCTCATTTTTTGAAGAAATTCGATCACGAAATGAATTTTGATAATTTAATTTGTTTAAAATATTTGCATGTTCGATCATTGTCATTGACTCTGGCATGATTTTTATTTTATGAAATGCAAACAGACATATGACAAACGAGTAAAATAAACTTTCATATTTACATTTGACAAAAAAAGGCGAGAAAAAGAATAACGTTTTTTTTATTACAAGTAAAAAACAAACAAATTGTTCGAAGTTTGATAGGACACTTATCTTGAGTTTTGAAGTATGTCGGCTGATCGAATGAAACAATAGAAATAGGAATAACGAGTTTTTTTTTGTTTAGTAGATTCTAATAAATGATTTTATTTGAGCAGATGTCTATATCATTTAATACATGAAATGAGAATATTAGACGAACGGTATTCACAAATAAATTGTAGTTTTACAGTGTTTTACCAAGAAACTTGAGAAAATTTTAAACCCATTTTCTGATTGATAAATTTACATAGAACCTTTTTAAAGGAGCGATATATTTGTATTATTTACTATACCTTATTTTTTAGGTTACATAACCTGAGAATCATCAAAAATAAGTTTGATATCATTTTAATACTGAAACAAAATTCAATGAAGTTTTTCTGTGATTTAATATAATAAAGAATTGAATCACGAATTTATTTATTCAATTAACAATAGAGATATCATATAATAAATAAGGGATACGTTCATATCAAGTTTATTCTTGTCTGAAGGATTGCTCAGAAATGAAGTGACCAATCTTTGTGTATATGTATGTGTAAGGATTAGCGAATTTTCTTCAGCCATACGAACACTTAAAAAAACTAAAACGACCAAATACTCTTACAGTGTCAAACAGATGGTCTTGATAAATCTAATCTGGTCTCGATCTGAGCCAAATGAAAACTATTCCAGAATTCATTCGTATTACATCTAAGCAAATACTTCAGTTCACGTTTTTTGGTTTATTTACTCGACGATTAACACTTTTCTTGTGGTCATCTCTCTTGAATTATGTTTCCGTTGATATAATTTATAAAATAATTCGCTTAACTCTATAGAATATTTAACTATAATCTTTCGTTCAGATTGAAAAAATTCTTTTCTCGTGAACCCGGTGATCAGAACTGGAACTAAACTCTATTCGAGATCCATTTCTGATCATGTGATTAGAGCTACGAGTATGTGTTTCATAAGAATATTAATTCAATAGATGTTCGTAGATTCTTTGACAGTTTCTTATATACCGTTTGAAAAGACTCGAGTGAAGTATTAGAAGTTAAATAAATATTCTTTCGTATTTCATATGTTTTCAATATTCATTATTCACATCGAAACGATTTCGAGATTGTCTTCATTTTCTATTATAAGTATTTGACCATCAATGGGAAGAAAATAACTTGAAATAAATCCTATTTTGAACGTTTCTTAAATCTGATGTAATTTGACCAAAGATCAGCATCGACCGTTCGAGCACATGTCATAAAGAAATTTCTCCCACTGATAAATCGCGATTATGTGCATTATGTAGACTTGAACGAGCTATGGATATCCTGGAAAGAGTTTGTGTCCTCAGCTGATTGCTGCGTAGATACTACATTTTGATGATATCTTATAATGAGGGCTGCCGTTCACCTCAATAACTAATTTATGAATTTCGATTTTAAACTTTACATAGAGATAGGTCTTAATGAGAATAGTTTTAGATCTTTTGATTTGCTTCTAAACTGTAATAAGAACATCAAATCCGCTAGTTTATATAAGTGATGTAAGAGACAAGCTGCTATCGTAGCTGTATCTTAGGATGGAAAGAATGAAAAGATCTGAAATTCTCACAAGAAACTAGTCTCTTTGCGCCCAATCCGTGTAGAGTTTCAATTCAAAAATAAAATTATCTGGAGATCCTGAGAGAAACGACAGCATTCATTCTAAAATACCGCATAAATGTAGCTTTTATGCAGCAATAAGCTAAGGAAATAAACCCTTTTCAGAATATTCATAGCTCACTTAGGTCTACATAATGCATGTAGTCTCGACTCAAAAGCAACAATTGGGGATACTTTTCTCATCAGTATGAATAGAATTATTCGCTCAATCGTTTCATGAAGCGTCAGCAAACTTTCGTTCTGCAACTATAGATGCTAAAAAAAATTAAGGTTTTGATTTTTTTTTTTTATATTAGTAGTAGGGATTCTCGTTGTTATATACCACGCAAAATGTTCTCCATCATGTAGCTTGCCTGTTTGTTAAAAAAAAAACATCTTTAACTTTTGTCTTTTTTTTTCAAACTTATCGATTTTGTAACTCAAATTTTTCGTAGAAAGAGCAATCAAGCAATATATTTTTTTTAATCAATTAATAGTTCATGGAAATCATTCTACAAATGATCCCTCCAGTAACGAAGAACAGAATGACGGTCAGATTAAAATAGAAATTCAATGATAAATCTGAGTAAACATTGCTTTGGCCTGAGACAGACTATAAAAATAAAACAGTTTTAATTTCGCTTTAAAAATAGACCCGTACACACTAAGAGAGTAAATAAGCCAATGAGAGAATGAAATACGCCTCCATAATGTGTAAAAATATAGTCATGCATAATTTTCGATCGATCAGAGGTGTCGCTACTCTTTGTGTATGATTTCTATTAAAACTTTTACGAAA